TTAATTTGTTTTTCTTTTCACAAAATGCTTATTGGAAAGTAAACACCTACTAAGAGTAATCATATTGCAATATGAAATAAAACATTTTATTTTTGTCGGTAAATTATTAAGATTTTTTGAATTTTTTTTTTTTTATTTTTCGGGATTTAGAAATCCCGAAAATCCCGGGATCCCGATATCGGGATTCCGGGATTTATTTAAAAATCCCGAATCCCGGGATTTCTAAAAACCAGTCCCGATTGGCATCCCTAATTCTATCCTTGCAATTTTTTTTTTCGATAGTGGTGGTGGTTTTCTGAATCAACGTTTAGGTTTGTTGGCTTTATTTGGACATTTTACTTTTTTTTTGTTCTGCTATTAACTGTGAAATGTATGTCAGACAAAATGGCTACGCGGCACGGAAACATAAAAAACACAGTCAAGAGTTAGTTGGTCAGTCATTAAGTAGATACGAGTAGATAGTTTTATATCTATGGTCAAAACTAAAACAATGTGCCCATCATACAGTTAGGATTGTTTTTTTGTTAACTTAGCTAAAATGATGAATGAGGACTGTACTTAAATTTACTTTTAATTCTTTAACATGTAATAAACAAGTAAGAAGTTATAGTCGGGCGAGGCCGACCATATAATACCCTACACCTTTGACAAAAATATAATGTGATTTAGTTGCCATAATAAAGCATTTAAGTTGAATTGTACCTTACCTTAGATATACATTTATATATACGTTTATTGTTGAATAAAATTGTGGACATTTAAGTGAAATTTTGATGGGGGCTTTTCATAGGGGCTAGGGTCATATGAGAACCTATTATTATGGAATTCATGGGGGTCATCAAGTCTTGTATAGAACTTTGTTTTTGCAGCTTTTTGTCGAGATATGAGTATATTAAACATAATTATGAACTTAAAAGCCCTATTCGGTGGGTTCGGTTGTATGGGGGCTAGGTGAAATAATGGACCGATGTAAACCATTTTCAACAGGCTTCATCTACGGTACCATAAAAGATCATGTGCCAAATTTCATTGAATTATCTCCAAAATTGCGACCTGTAGTTTGATTACAAGTTTTAAAAGCCCTATTCGGGGGTTCAGTTGTATGGGGGCTAGGTGAAATAATAGACCGATGGTAACCATTTTCAATAGGCTTCGTCTACGGTACCATAAAAGATCATGTACCAAATTTCATTGAACTATCTCCAAAATTGCGACCTGTAGTTTGGTTACAAGTTTTAAAAGCCCTATTCGGGGGTTCAGTTGTATGGGGGCTAGGTGAAATAATGGACCGATGGTAACCATTTTCAATAGACTTCGTCTACGGTACCATAAAATATCATGTGCCTAATTTCATTGAATTATCTCTAAGATTGCGACCTGTAGTTTGATTACAAGGATTACAAGCCCTATTGGGGGGTTCAGTTGTATGGGGGCTAGGTGAAATAATGAACCGATCTTAACCATTTCCAATAGGCTTCGTCCCTGGGACAATAGAAGATCATTACCAAATTTCATTGAATTATCTTCAAAATTGCGACCTGTAGTTTGATTACAAGGTTTACATGGACGGACGGACAGACGGACGGACATAGCTAAATCGACTCAGAAAATGATTCTGAGCCGATTGGTATACTTTAAGGTGGGTATAAGACCAATATTATTGTGCGTTACAAACATCAGCACAAACCCAATATACCCTCCCCACTAAAGTGGTGTAGGGTATAAAAAGGTAGTTTAAAATAATAATGTTGCTTAAAAATTATTTTACAATAATTTTGTTATTTTACTCATTCCTACGCTTACTCTACTATGTGAATTATAATTAGATTTTTCTTAGAAAAACGGTGATGAAATTTTAATTTAATAAAACTGCAATAAAAAATTCTATTTAATTAATTTTCTTTTATTACTTTGTTATTTTTGTGTTTTTTTTCTCTCAGTTCACAAAAAGATTCACTTTTAACAAAGAAACTATTAAAGCAGCGCGATTTTGTAGCAGGAGCATCATCAGCAACGACAAACATTAAGTTAGAAAATATAAAAGGACATACTGCCACCACGACTACTATTCGCATCTTTAAATGTCGTTAAATGCCATTTAATTTAACTTTTTCCTGTTTTTCACTCTATTCTTTTCATTTTCCTCTTTGTTGTAGTTGTTGTTAATGTACAACCATATTCCCCAAGTCGCAACACTTTTCTATTATAACCCGGTGTTTGAACGAGTACTTATAACAGAATATACATTTGTATGTGTGTGTGTGGCAAGTTAGTAGCTACACCAGGCATTACGTGCCACTTACAACAAACACTATGAAAGTGTCATCTTTGTATTATTGAAGTTTTATAAAAAAAAAAAAAACAACACTTGAGGCATTAAAATGTGCTGTGAGTGAAGCTCTTTCAACTGGACTCCTTCTGTGTTGAAGAGACTTTGTTGGGTTCAAAACCGAAAGGTTATAAAACTGTTTAATTTTAAACGTTTATGTTTGGAAAGATTTACACATTATTGTGTGGTTAACTAACAAAGAGAAAAAGTTTATTTAATAATAAAATCCAGAAAAAAAATCTATTAGCCAAAGGTTACAGCTAAATGGCAAAACTTAATAAAAGCCAAAGATTATATCTGCTATTGTAGCTATTCTTTTTAAGCTTAAAAACAATTTATAGTTAGTTGTACGTATTTTAGTGGTTATCTTTATGGCTGTGTCTTAATATTAAAAATAAATTTTTGCAGACCAATAATTTATTATATTTGCAATGAACTTATTACTTCCGTTTAATTTATATAACTTAAATTGAGTTTTAATTGAATTTTTGGATTCTGTCATTGTCTGGTTTCATAGAATTGCCACTTTTGAAACCTAAAGTATACATTGAAAGTTTCTATATAATTTCCGTTCAGTTCTAGTTCAGTTCTAGTTCAGTTCTAGTTCAGTTCTAGTTCAGTTCTAGTTCAGTTCTAGTTCAGTTCTAGTTCAGTTCTAGTTCAGTTCTAGTTCAGTTCTAGTTCAGTTCTAGTTCAGTTCTAGTTCAGTTCTAGTTCAGTTCTAGTTCAGTTCTAGTTCAGTTCTAGTTCAGTTCTAGTTCAGTTCTAGTTCAGTTCTAGTTCAGTTCTAGTTCAGTTCTAGTTCAGTTCTAGTTCAGTTCTAGTTCAGTTCTAGTTCAGTTCTAGTTCAGTTCTAGTTCAGTTCTAGTTCAGTTTCTAGTTCAGTTCTAGTTCAGTTCTAGTTCAGTTCTAGTTCAGTTCTAGTTCAGTTCTAGTTCAGTTCTAGTTCAGTTCTAGTTCAGTTCTAGTTCAGTTCTAGTTCAGTTCTAGTTCAGTTCTAGTTCAGTTCTAGTTCAGTTCTAGTTCAGTTCTAGTTCAGTTCTAGTTCAGTTCTAGTTCAGTTCTAGTTCAGTTCTAGTTCAGTTCTAGTTCAGTTCTAGTTCAGTTCTAGTTCAGTTCTAGTTCAGTTCTAGTTCAGTTCTAGTTCAGTTCTAGTTCAGTTCTAGTCAGTTCTAGTTCAGTTCTAGTTCAGTTCTAGTTCAGTTCTAGTTCAGTTCTAGTTCAGTTCTAGTTCAGTTCTAGTTCAGTTCTAGTTCAGTTCTAGTTCAGTTCTAGTTCAGTTCTAGTTCAGTTCTAGTTCAGTTCTAGTTCAGTTCTAGTTCAGTTCTAGTTCAGTTCTAGTTCAGTTCTAGTTCAGTTCTAGTTCAGTTCTAGTTCAGTTCTAGTTCAGTTCTAGTTCAGTTCTAGTTCAGTTCTAGTTCAGTTCTAGTTCAGTTCTAGTTCAGTTCTAGTTCAGTTCTAGTTCAGTTCTAGTTCAGTTCTAGTTCAGTTCTAGTTCAGTTCTAGTTCAGTTCTAGTTCAGTTCTAGTTCAGTTCTAGTTCAGTTCTAGTTCAGTTCTAGTTCAGTTCTAGTTCAGTTCTAGTTCAGTTCTAGTTCAGTTCTAGTTCAGTTCTAGTTCAGTTCTAGTTCAGTTCTAGTTCAGTTCTAGTTCAGTTCTAGTTCAGTTCTAGTTCAGTTCTAGTTCAGTTCTAGTTCAGTTCTAGTTCAGTTCTAGTTCAGTTCTAGTTCAGTTCTTCTAGTTCAGTTCTAGTTCAGTTCTAGTTCAGTTCTAGTTCAGTTCTAGTTCAGTTCTAGTTCAGTTCTAGTTCAGTTCTAGTTCAGTTCTAGTTCAGTTCTAGTTCAGTTCTAGTTCAGTTCTAGTTCAGTTCTAGTTCAGTTCTAGTTCAGTTCTAGTTCAGTTCTAGTTCAGTTCTAGTTCAGTTCTAGTTCAGTTCTAGTTCAGTTCTAGTTCAGTTCTAGTTCAGTTCTAGTTCAGTTCTAGTTCAGTTCTAGTTCAGTTCTAGTTCAGTTCTGGTTCAGTTCTGGTTCAGTTCTGGTTCAGTTCTGGTTCAGTTCTGGTTCAGTTCTGGTTCAGTTCTGGTTCAGTTCTGGATCAGTTCTGGTTCAGTTCTGGTTCAGTTCTAAGTCAGTTTTATTTCGGTTCCAGTTTTGTTCTAGTTCGGTGGTAGGCTAGAGTATAGACTATACTATATGCTTGAATGTAGACTAGACTATAGATTACTCCATAGACTTGATTATAGAATAGGCTATATATTTGATTATAGCCTTGAATACAGTCCAGACTATAGAATTTATATACAGGTGGCTAGACCAAAATCTAGACTAGAAACTAGACTAGAGTATACTATAGGCTATGTATATATGTAGACTAGACTTTAGACTAGATTATTTTTGATAAATTACCAACATAGTGACAAAATAAATAAACCTCTCATCTGTGTTAAAGTTGTTATATAAACAACATAATGCAGCCCTATGGTATTTTTTCTTTAAACTACTTAAGATGATTTTTCTCTATTGTGCTTCAATTACCTTCTTTTATTATTATCGCCTTATTTATAATGCAAGTAATTTTTATTCTTTTTTTTTCAGACATTTGTGCAACAACAATTGCAAAACAAAACGAGAATAACGAACGAATAAATAATAGAAATAAAAAGAGAAACTTACCTGGCAGCAACAGGTGTTATAATCCATAAATAACCATTTGTATTGCGTTCTAAGGATGAACAGGGGTATTGGCGTCTATATGTGGTAAAGTCATCTATTGCTGGTGTTGCTGTTATTGTAGTAGTTTGTTTAAAGTCATGATGTTGATGTGTTGATTGTTGGTGCTGCTGTTGCTGCTGTTGTAGTCTTAGATGTTTTTGTTGAACACCATTCAATTTACTGAGATTTGTACATGAATTATTCATGCCAGCATTTAGATCGCTTGCCATGGAAATGGTACGATGGCCAATGCCACCCACACTACCTGTTCCATTTGAATTTGTCTTGTTGACTGGTAGTTGCTGTGGGTCCATTGTGTAACCAGTTGATGGTATGCTGCCGGAGATTGTATTTATAACACCCAACATTGTGGGTTCATTAGAATTGTTTTGATGAGAGTTGTTGTTGTTGTTGTTGGTGTTACTGTGAGAATTATTGTAGCTGTTGTTGGAGTTATGACGCTGTTGTTGTTGTTGCTGTTGTTTGCGTATGTCACCATCAGTGACAGTGGCATTAGCAGCCGATACTAGTGATAGAGTTGATAGAGACGATGCTGTATTTCTGGGTAATGTTGCATACGGCGATTGTTGTAAATAATATTGTGAAGTACGTGGACATTGTGGTCGTTCTATGGATGCATGTGTTGTAAGTTTATGATGATGTTGTTGTTGTTGTTGTGACGATTGCTTTTGTAAACTGTTATGATTGTGCATTATAAAGTCGGAATCATTTTTTATTTTTTGCTGCTGTTGTTGCTGCTGCTGAGTTGTGCTTGTTTTTAATAATGTTGATGATGATGTACATTTTGTTGTTACTGCTGTTGTTGAAGCTTGGGTTGTTGTAGTTTGACTTAGTGATGTTGACGTTGTTGTTGTTTGTGAGGAAATGCAAGATTTTACTAATGATTGTTGTTGACCACTAATGTTGCCATTTAGTTGTTTTTGTTTTAGTTGATGTTGCTGCTGCTGCTGCTGTTGCCTTAACTGTCCTGTGGGTAAATTAGCATTTGTGCCAGAAGTAATTTTTATATCACAACCACCAGCAGTAGTACAGTCTGTGTCAACACTATGTGAGGATGCCACACGAAATACATTTGGCACTGTAGGATAATCGCGCATAATTTACTTTAGTTTTTGGTTTTATCTATTTCCACACTAAATTTTCCACTCTACTCGGGCCACACAACACCATACACTACCAACCATCAACCGACAACCAACCACTACCACGACAACTGACTAAAAATCTAATATTGCAAAAATAACAACAAAAAACATAAGAAAAAGCAACAACATAAAAAAATTAAGCCAAATATGTATGTAAGTTGAAAAAATTTAGAGCATAAAAACTTTTTGGTTGGTTCAGTTTTATTATTTCTTTTTTCCGCTTTTCTATTAACCAAACAGACAGACAGTTACACATACACACACACTAACTGACACACGCACTCACTCACGCACACATACAACGGAAATGTATACACACTCAAAAAACTTTAAATTATGCAAAGCGTCGCAATGTATGTTGTGTTTTTGTAATTATGAACATTTTTGTGAATATTTATTTTTATTATTTTATTTTTGTTGTGTCGTACGTTTTAGTTTTTGCTCGTTTTTTTTTTTAATATTTTTTGCTTTGGAAAAATTAGTGTGAGTTAATGTTATTGTAGGAATTTAGTTTCGCCAAAAGTAATTAATTTTTTAAAAATAATTTTAATTTGTTTGTTTAAATATTAAAATAATTACTGCACATTATACGTTTGTAGAAATTTAATATCATTTAATTTATTATAATGTAATGCTTTGATTTAGAATCAAATTAATATTTGATGAATTTGGAATTTTTTTTAATAAAAAGTGCATACTTTAGGGCAGTTATTTTTGATATAATGTAAACTGATGTGGCTGATGTTTATAACACCCAAAAAATATGGATCCTACTTTAACCTTAAAGTCTACAAATCGGCTTAGTATCATTTTCGTAATCGATTAAGCTACATCCGTCTATCTGTCTGTCTGTTTGTCTTTTTGTCTGTCTGTCTGTTTGTCTGTCTGTCTGTCTGTCTGTCTGTCTGTCTGTCTGTCTGTCTGTCTGTCTGTCTGTCTGTCGTCTGTCTGTCTGTCTGTCTGTCTGTCTGTCTGTCTGTCTATCTATCTATCTGTCTGCCTGTGTGTTCATGTAGAAATTGTACTCAGGCTACCGGCCGCAATTTTGAGAACATTTTCTTGAAATATACTTCTGAGATAAAACATATACAATTATATAAATATATGTTAACAGCTTATGAACAGCGTAAAAATTATAAGAAATTTGTTATCGGTACATTCTATATTGATATTTATGAATATAATCTTAACTTAACAACTAATGATAACACTGCCAACGATAAACAACTTTTTAAATAATTTTCACTAATTCCAGTGTACGTATCACTCAACAATTTTCTACATTTTCATCTTTTAGTCCTTCTGACTGTATACTTGTGACCCAAATATATAATTCAGTAATTTTAAAGAAGTTACGAAGAGTGGCGGTCTCTGCCTATAGACTTACTTATACTTGTAAGTTATGGAAATGCATTCTGGTAAAATATAGCGCTATAGGGCACATTAACTGGTGCCATTAAAAGTTGATATTAGTTTTGAGTCTAAAAATATGTCAAATAAAAAAAATCATAAAAAAAGAGTGTCACTCTTTTGTAAAGTTATGATCATACATATATCAACGATCATCGATATTTTCCATTTAATAAGCGATATGCCTAAAAGTATGTTAAACATTAAAAAAATTCCACAACAAACCATTAATTTGCCAGGAAAAACATTCGAAAACAAAAATCCTTTTGATTTTTTCAGTCACAAACCATTTTGGAAACTAATTCCTATCAAAAAAGAAGATTGATCATTATACCCTACACCACTATAGTGTTTAAGCTATGTCCGTTCGAATACCAGTCCATGTAAAGCTTGTAATCAAGCTTTCACTATTTTCCAGATAACTTGATGAAATTAGGACGAAGTGGATTGCAAATGGCTTAAAAATGTATACATTAATATAAGAATTTTTATGTAATTTTTTATTATTTACTAGGATTTGATTTTAATTTATTAAATAAAAATATAATTTTATTGTTAATATTAAATACAAATGTATTAGTATTAAGTTTTAATATTAAATAAAGAAAAAATATTGGATAATTCTATTGAATAATTCTTGGAAAGCTTAAAAATTTTACATTCAAGATTAGTACTTAAGCTGAAGCCGAAAATGAACTCATAGTGTACCTAAGACCAATATTTCATAAAAATTTCCGAACAAAATTTCAGACGGATTTTACTAAAAAATTTTATGTCATCTCAAAATTTCCTCTACAGTTGGAGGTTCTTGTCTTGACTATTGAAAAATTAGCTAGCTAAGACAAGAACATAACATATTAGAAAAATCTTGATTTGAAATGAAATTTCGTGGGATATTTAGTTAAAAATTTTTCTGTAGAATTTTTCATGAAATATTGGACCCAGCTCAATTCTGAAACCATTTTTGGATTCAGCATAGATTGTAGCCTTAATTGACAAATTTTCGTTTCCCTCAGTCTTAAGATCTCGAAATAATAATACAAATTGTTCAAAATAAAAAAATTTCGAGAATTTTGATGAAACAATGGACCTAGGTCCATTCTGAGTCCATTTTCGGATTCAGCGTGGGAATTTACCAGAAAGGTGAGTTTCCAGCCAGATTCGCCCAGTAGTTTTCGAGATTGAAGCAAACGAAAAAAAAATTTGAAATTTTGTTGCAGTATGGGTCCTGGGTCCAACATTCATCAAAATTTCTGATTTTTTTTATTTCTGCTTCAAACTCGGAAACTACTGGCCGGATCTGGCTGCAAACTCACCTTTCTGGTAAAATCCCATGCTGAATCCAAAAATGGACTCAGAATGGACCTAGGATCAATATTTCATACAAATTCCCGATTTATTTTAATTTTAAGCAATTTGTGGTATTATATGGCGGTCTTGGGGCCTAGAGCTGCAAAAATTTTACATTTAAGATTAGTACTTAAGCTGAATCCGAAAATTAACTGATAGTGGACCTAAGACCAATATTTCATAAAAATTTTCCAAACTAAATTTCAGAGCGACATTGCTACAAAATTTTATGTCATCTAAACACTTTCTTTACATTTGGAGGTTCTTGTCTTGACTATTGAAAAATTAGCTAGCTAAGACAAGAACCTCACATATTAGAAAAATCTTGATTTGAAATGAAATTTCGTGGGGATATTTGGTTCAAAATTTTTCTGCAGAATTTTTTATGAAATATTGGACCTAGCTCAATTCTGAAACCAATTTTGGATTCAGCATAGATTGTAGTCTTAAATAACAAATTTTCGTTTCCCTCGGCTTTAAGTTCCCGAAATAATAATACAAATTGTTTAAAATAAAAAAATTCGGGAATTTTGATGAAACAATGGACCTAGGTCCATTCTGAGTATATTTTCGGATTCAGCATGCGAATTTACCAGAAAGGTGAGTTTCCAGCCAGATTCGGCCAGTAGTTTTCGAAATTGAAGCAGAAATAAAAATGGTGTTTCCAATGGATGCACTGAACAATCTGTTACAAGCTCACATGTCGCAACTTAATGCAAACTGTTGCAATACCACAAGGCTACAAAGGGTTAACCTATACGGAATCCGAAAACGCCCATAGACATTATGACACTGGACAAAATGACACGCCACCAATAAATCCTCAACATGTTATAGAGATCAGTCCATATTTGCCTCTAGAACCCATATAAAGCCTTTTTCAGTTAATTAGTTATTCGCTAAAAATTTTTTTAATTGTATCGGTCACGCACGACTATACATTCTTTCTTCGTTTATCCAATAAATGGACAGTAAAATTGCCTAAATTTTGTTATAAAAAGGCTTACTTGGCAACGCTGTGTATTAGTAACTTTTAAATTAATTTTATTATTTTTAAATTTTATATCCTGGACCCCACTAAAGGGTGGATCAGTTTTGTCAGTTTAGACTTTTTAAGGCTAAAACAGGGGTTAATGAAAACATGTTAATATTTCAAAAACGCGACGTGAGCGAAGGAAATGAAAAGCTTATATATATGTTGTTTGTTAATATCTTCTATCCCATTGTGTTAATTTTTAAATGCTGATTTCATTGCAGACCAGAGTGTTATTAGCCCTTTTTCAGTTTCTCGGATTTGTAATTAACAACTAGTTGTAGTAAATGTGTTGAACTTTATCAGTTTCACAGTTAGGTGGGAGGGTTTTATGGGTATGCGCTGATGATTGTTAGACATAGAAATGTTGGTCCAACAGTTGCCTTTAAGGCTCAAAATATCTTTCCAAGTAGATTTTGTTATGTCTGTCTGTCTGTCCGTCCGTCCGTCCTTCCATCCATCCGTCCGTCCGTCTGTCCATCCTTCCGTCCATCCGTCCGTCTGTGTTGTAAATTATTTTCGGTTCACAAAATGAGTCTTATTGGGTTTCAGAAAAATAGTTTTTATTTTTTGTTCATATTTAATACATTAATACGCATTATTTGAGAGGTATTTTATATACTTGTTTTATATGAAAACATTTTCAAACCTTTTTTAAGAACGATTATTTTAGATAAAAAAACGCTTATAAAATAAAATATTTTTTTTTACCAAAAATTTGTTTGAATTTAGTTCTTTGTTTTGTTTAACATTCTGTAAAAAAAAAAACTTTTCATAGAAATTTTTTTATAGGTTAAAAGTTAGATTTATAGAAAAAATGCTTTTTGATTTCAATGAAAAACAGTTTGGGCAGTTTTGTTTCTAATGGGGTTGGAATGTTATTTTAGATTTTTTTTCATAACATAGTATTGGCTTTCTAGAAATTATTATTTTAAAATGTATTTAATTTGTCGTATTTTTATACATGATCATGTATACAATTCCCTAAAAGTATGCTTCTCTGATTATTAGGAATAATTTTTTTCAAAATTTTTAATTTATTTGCAGTAATATTCTCACAACATTTCCAGTTAATTATAAAAAGTTAATTTATATAAAAAGTCGTTTTTAAATTATTAAGTGTGGTTTCTGGTGAATATTTCTCGAAAGTTAGCACTAAATTTAAGTTAAAAAAAATATAAATTTTTTTGCTAAATATTT